ACTTAGAGACCTAAAATATTTTTATGTTAACTGACCTTTTGGGTCTTTCATGTATTATTTTTTTCCCCTTAATTCATCCTTTCTATAATCTGGACACTTCCTTTGTCAGTTACTGGTAGATACACTGCAAGTTCACTGCAAGTTTGTGGGTTGCCTTTTCATATTTAGTGTCTTTTGCACTATCCAAGTTTCTAAGTTTAATACAAACAGGTGCATTTTTCTTTTTATGGATCACTTTGTGTCATATTCAACTACTTCTTTGCACTAGGTCATGATATATTTCTATGTCCTTTTCTGTCTTTCTGAAATATTTTTAAAATGTCCTCAATCTACCAAATTTTTTTGTATATGGTGTGATGTGAAAAAGGTACATAATTTTTTCCCACATGGACATGCAATTGTCCTAATGCCATTTATCAAAAACTTCTTTAAAACTAGTGAGTCTGCATGCGTAGTGCTCTGTAACGAGAAGCCACTGCAGTGAGCCTCCTCCCCTTAATTAGAAAGTAGCCCCCACTCAGAGGAACTAGAGAAAGCTCGTGTGCAGTAGGGAAGACCCAGCAAATAAAGCCAAAAGAACTTTATTTCCCCACTTTCTGTCATAGCAAGTTCTCATATATCTGGACCTTTATTCTATACAATAGATCTACACATCCCAAACTTGCACCACTAGGGCTGTTTAATCACCATAACTTTTTAAGTCCTGTTGTCTTGCCTAAGTGCCCCTCCCCTCTTATGATTCTCTTAAAAAAACTGTCTTGGCTCTCTGTCTTTGCATATTAAGTTAGGTAGGTTTATTGTAGTCCATGAAAAATTTTGTTGAGAATTTGTTTGGAACTTCAGTGAATTTCTAGATGACTTTGGCACCAACTGACACTTTAATATATTAGCTTTTCCCATCCTGAAACATGGAATATTGCTTCATTTATTTTGGTTCTGCTTTTATATAATTCTTGCACATTTTTTACTAGGTGTTTTATTAGGTGTCTTATAGTTTTTATTGTGAATGAAACTTTTAAATATTACTTTTAAATAGAGCACTACTGTTTCTTGTATATTGCATATTCTAGCCCCAAACCCTCAACTCTCTTATTAGTTACAGTACTTTGCAATTTCCCTAGGACTTTCAAATAAACAATTATATTGCTCATTAATAATTGTTTCTTACTTTACAATCCTTATATCTGTTTCTTCTTCTAATCTTACTGTGCTGGCCAGGCTCTCAGCGCAATGTGGAACAAGATGCACAATAGTCATCCCTGTCCTACTGCTGACCTATCTAGTTACTAGTTATACCATTAACTCATCATGTTATTGTGGCATATGGGATCAAGTTCCCTGATCAGGGATCGGACCCAGGCCCCCTGCTTCGGTAGTGCCGCAGTCTTTACCACTGGACCACCAAGGAAGTCCCAAACCATGTTTTGTTTGTTTTTTAATGTGTGTGTGTATATTAACTAACTTGTATCCAACTCTTTGTGACTCTATGGACTGTACCTAGAATGGGTTGCCATTTCCTTCTCCAGGGGATTTTCCTGACCCAGGGACTGAACCCTTGTCTCCATCTCCTGCATTGCAGGCAGATTCTTTGCCCACTGAGCCAGTTACCATTTACCATATTAAGGAAGTGAAGGGAAAGTTGCTCAGCTGTGTCCAACTCTTCATGACCCCATAGACTATACAGTCCATGGAATTCTCCAGGCCAGAATACTGGAGTGGGTAACCTTTCCCTTCTCCAGGGGATCTTCCCAACCCAGAGATCGAACCCAGGTCTCCCGAATTGCCGGCGGATTCTTTACCAGCTGGGGCCATGAGGGAAGCCCATATCAAAACCATACTAAGGAAGCTTCTGTCTATTCATAATCCATCAAGAGAATGTTTTGTTTGGCTGATCTTTCCCCCTATTTTTTGGTCACATCGAATGGCATTTGGGATCTTATTTTCCCAGTCAAGGATCCAACGTGTGCTCCCTGCAGTGGAAGCATTTAGCCATGGGAATGCCAGGGAAGTCCCTCATTTTGTTGATTTTTAAAATGAGTGCTGCATTTTGTTTCCTCTTGCATTCATTGAGATAATATTTCTCTTTATAAATGTGGCATGTTACATGGAAAGATTTCTCCAGTGTATATCATTCTTCCATTTTGGCCATCAATTTTACTTTGCCACAATGAGTGTATTGTAACTGGTGAAAGTGAACTTCTACAATTTATATTAGTTTAACCATGTTCATGAGAGACTGGACTATATTATTTTCCCTTCACATATCCCATTTAACTTCAGTCACAGTTGAGTTTCCCTCTCCTTTTAAAAAAATCTTCTACTACAGTATTTATAAAGATTGTTTCTTGAATGTTTGACAGACCACATCATAAGCCATCCAGATCTGGTGGATTACTTGGGAGACTTTAAAAAACAGATTCAGTGTTATTTTACATACAACGATCCACATTTTAAAAAATATCTAAAACTTCAAATTTACCTGCAGATTCACAATAGCTTTGTCATTAAAAGAAAAAAACCAAACACCTTAACTGTGCGCGTGCGCTCAGTCACCGTGGCTGCGTCTGACTCTGACTACAGGCTGCAGCACGCCAAGCTACTGAGCAGGGGCTTCTGCAGGCAAGAACACTGGAGTGGGCTGCCATGCCCACCTCCAGGTCTTCCCAACCCAGGGACCGAACCCGCATCTCCCGCGTCTCCTATTTTGCAGGCAAATTCTTCAACAGCTCAGCCACCAGGGAAGCCCTTATCTGTTTAACAACCTTAACTATATCCTTATTCATATCTTTTTATGATATCAACTTGATTTTTCAATTCAAAATTTGCCAGTATAAACTGTCACCACTGTTTCTAGTCTACAAGTTGTGTCCAACTCTTTTGTGGCCCCATGGACGGCAGCCTGCCAGCCTTCTTTGTCCACGGGATTTGGTTAGCTTCAAACCTTTTCCCCACGTTACGTGGCCTGTCAAATCTTTAAGAAACTTTCCTAAGTACTGTTGAGTTTCTCCTGACCAACATATAATGCTTTAATTTATATACTAAATGTCATAAGTTTTAATTGGTGAAATCAGTGGCCTGTTAACTAAAGTGAGGAACTTAAAAAATTGGTCCCTGATGGTTAAAGGTTTCCAAGATTACATGGATTGGCCAAGAGTGGAGTTGCACATCCACCCTGCAAGAACAGGCCAAAGAATCCAGCTTAGTCTGAACCCTCACCCTTTGGGAAAATGTCATAATACAGGCCCCTGGAAGGTCCTCTGTCCAGCCATGAACAAGGTTTTGTTAAGGGTAACAGTATTCTGCTTCTTGAAGGGGATTTTTAGGCAAGGCAGTAGTTAGGGCATCTTAAAGGCAGAGAACAACTTCCTTAAGCCTGCAGAAGAGGCAGTAAGAACTGTTTTAAGCAAGCTGTATTGGTGACATAAATTGCTAAGAAACTGTCTTCCTTATGACCTGGCTGTTAGGGGCTGATGGGAGGGCAGGAGAGGGTGTGTGTGGGGAGTGAGTGGGCTTTCAGTGGGTGCTATTATCTACCAAGGGTGGTACATGAATACACAAGTTCAGGGCTGCTCACAACTGCCACACCCATTTTTTTATTTTTTCCTGCTTAAAACCCCTAAAAATATATATGTGCACTGGATCTTCCTTGTGTGAATAATTTTTCCCCATCTCTTTTACACTTACTCTTATTCCTGCCATTTCAAAGACTATCAAGTGTGTCTGATCCGTACAACAGTAAATTTCTTTCCAGTGGCATAGGAAGAGCGGCCCCCAAGGGGGCAGACATTTGTTTTCTTCGGTGCTTCGCCACCAGCACCCCACTGCACCCACACATTAAGGAGGCGCTCCCAGTAATTCCTGAGCTGAGCTTTAGCTCTTCTCACGGGACCATTCCTTTCCCCCCACCCTGTCTCAGGTTCAGAGGCCGCTGTGCGGAGCTCTGCACCCCGCTCCCCGAGGCTGCAGCGCCAGCGGGGGGCTCGGGCCCCTCCCCGGAACTGTCAGGCTCTGTCTCGCTGTAAAAGTCCCACAGTTCAAGGGCGAGGCTCTCAGCCAAGACGACGACCCCGAAGGCCAGTGTCTCTTCCGGTTCCTCCCCGTACTGCTCTGTTCTCTCATTTCCGGCAGCTGGGACTTCCTTTCCTTCCTTTTGCTGCTGGCTGCGTACAGGTTATGTTTTATTTGACATCTGAGTTTGGAGTTATGGGATGGTTATCTTAGTTCAGTCGGCCCTTCCATGGAGATTCCTGGGAACAAACTACGTAAGAGGGTAGAACCGTAAACCAGCATCTTAAGCCAGAGTTCGGCAGTTTTCTAATACACTGCAGTACAATTCACTCACTCCCTGATGCACTTTGAAAAGCGGAACAAATGAAGAAAACAAAAACTGAAGAGTTGGGAGAAAATGTTTATTTAGTAAAACGGTATGAGGTTCAAAACCAGTAAAACAGGGAACGGAGAACTTACCAGTGGGGGATTTTGAGGGGTTCCTTTAAAACAACAGCAACTGGGAAGTGACTTGGACGAAAATTTCATAGGTGACAAAGGTTCAGATACCATATGCACTATGCTGAAAGGCACCTAATAGTTTTATTTGTACCAATAGTACTAAGAATAACTTTCCCTATACTGCCATCTTTTCTAAGGAACATGCAATCAATGAAGACCTAGTTGGCTTTAACGCTTTGTGTGTGTCTCAAGTTACCAAACTGTAAGAATTACAGGATGAAGCAGAGACCCATATGTTTGTGTTGAGAAAATATTAACCTTTAATCGTACAACTTAATTCTGAGGTATGCCTTTGCTGTTCATTCTTCCCTACAACACTGGCATGATGGAAGTATAATCACTTGGTCACCACTTACATCTTAGTTCTGTTTTTCAACATGGAACCGAGGGTACAATTAATTTAAATACCTTTAACAATAAAAAACTGTGTATTCAGTAAAATAAATAGGCTCCCCCCGCCCCCAAATTTCAAGGGTATGGTATGAGTTGAACTAACTCCACTCAGGAAGTAACTGTGCTCTAGCAAGCAGGTCCAGTGCTGGCACTACATGAATACCACCTCCTACTAAGTTATAAGAACTTAGAGAAGACTTACGAGACCAGAGTACCACCAGCCCTTCACATCCTGGAGTCTGTATTTCTACCGTTACAAGTCCCAGGAAGCATGCCCACTTTGTAGAGTCAGACAGATACAATAATTCGATCACTGTCATATGGCGAGAAAGTAGCAGATGCTGTAACATGAACCCAGGGCCTTGATTCCAGGAGCAACTCTTTTGTGCTGCCATTGTGATGTCTTTATTCTCCATCAGGCAGTCATTCTCTTAGTTTTTTAAATAAGGAAAACACTGTGAAGCAGCAAAGTAAAAAAATGATTGAATTCTTGGGAGTACAGTGGCAATTAAATAACTTAAAAAAAAAAAAGAAAGAAAGGTGTTTGGAGAATACGCCCAACATTTTTTTTTTTTTTTTTTTATTTTGCTGTGCTGGGTCTTAGCAGCAGAATGTGAGAACTTTAGTCATGGCACGGGAACTCTTAATTCCCTGAGCAGGGATCGAACCCAAGCCCCCTGCACTGGAAGCATGGAGTCTTAACCCTTGGACCGCCAGAGAAGGCCCCATGCCCAGGATTTTTGAGAATATTTCTACTGGACACCTTTGTTCCAACATTATCTTCTTCTGAGAGAGGAGGGGACCTTATTTAAAAACAGGAATAAACTTTTTTTCCTCCAACAAAATTTATCATGCCAGACACTGAATTTATGAAGACAAATAAGCTTGTTTCTGTCCTCAAGGGGCTCATAATCTAAGTGGAGCACTACACATGTAGATAAACTGGTGATAATTTTAGTGCCAGTGCTAAATAGCACTGCTAGCACCCATAACATGGTGCTAAACGAGAAGACAACAGAAGACATATTTATGGCACAATGAGAAGAACTCTCCCTCCCTTTTACCTGGGACGTCCAAGATTCAGGTAATATTGAGACATTTGAACAGAGTTTTGAAGAGCAAGTTATTTCCTGAGGGCTTAGTATGGGCCAGATACTGTGCTAAGGGACTATCTGGATTATCTAATTAAATTATTGCTACAATTTTGGAGACAAGTAACCTTGTTTTACAGATGAATTCAGGTGGTTTAATCTAGGACTCAGTCTGCTAAATATTAACACTGTGAGCTACTGACATACACGAATGCACAGTAAAACAGATCACTGGATGGAGTCAGAGGGATAAAGGGGTGTATACATCCAAATGTTCTCATTTACACAAAAGGCTATGAAGTCAGGATGCTGCAGGAATTAGCCAAAGGTCACATAACACAGACAGAGATAATCCTTTATCCTCTCAGGGGCTCGTCCATCCACGGTATGATCACGTATTCCTGGAAATGTTACTTTCTTCCTGCCTTTCCCTTTAGCTTTTCCCTTTAGACACTCCATCACCAAAGGCCACCTCAAACCATGTGCCAACTTACCAAAGGGCGAAGCTGTTGAAGGACACACGGTTGGATGGGGCTGGCCTACATCTAAAAGAAGATATTTACTGTAAATACCAGTGTTTCATAAGCAATGATCTGTAAAGTTGAGAGACAAGCTAAACAGGTTTGCCAACTTTTATGAACACTGCTGCTCACACACTCAACCTGTTACACACAGGAATAATTACAAGACTATCTGGATTACAATCCCAGATAGCCACAAAACTTGAGAAGAGACTTGCACTCTGTCTACCCAGAGATCTGCCTCCAGCCCTTACAGCTACAAATCCCTGTATGGCGTGGCAACAGCAGGTTTTCTAGGCACTTGAGTTAGTGTTCCTAACGTGAGCCCCGGGACTCTTCTACCTGCCCTGTCCGAGATGCCTGCGATCTGTTCAATCAGTTTTTATACACAAGCAAAGAGTACGGACTGTTCATTCTGTTTGTTCAGTTTGAAACGAAAACTTTAAATGCTTGTGTGGAAATAAAAAGCTTAAATAACTTCCTTAGGGTCATAATAAAACTCTGTCATTCTTATTATGTATGCAGTTTTAAATATATACTTTAAAGGTTCAAGGAGGATGACTATTGAGACTGATTGTGATTCAAATGCAATGATTTTGCTCATGCCAGTGTGCAGTTCTCACCTCCTGTTCTGGTTTAGGTTTAACATACAGATGGAGAGAGTGGTTATGCAACATTTCTGGTACCACTGCATTTACTTCCCACATTAAAGGGAAGATCCAGTTATAAATCCTATTGATTCGAGAACTATAACAATAAAAAAACTGACAAGAGCCAGAGTATCAGCAAGCTTATTAATAAGAGAAGGGCAAAAGTGAAACTTTATCTGGAGGCACTGGTTCTGAAAGGTATGAAAATTAGAATCATACATTTAATCACACACTTTATGTGCTCCATTCTAGGCTGACTGTATACCTGAGGGTCAATCTCCCATGTACTTAGTTTTCCAATCTCTACAAACAGCTCAGACCCACAGCCTCATCTCTGAACCACTTACGTACAGTACCCAGGGTGCTTGCTCTGAGCTCAGGAATCTTCACCACTTTAACTGTTTGTGATTATAAGCAACTTAACTTTTCTGAGTCCCAGTTTCCTCAACTGTAAAGTACACTAGTAACACTTATCTTAAAGGGCTGCTGCAAGGGTTAGATGAGAACATTATGAAAGTATCTAATAAAGAACTTGTATCATAAAAGGTGTTCCATATACATTATTACTGTCTGATGAATACTCAGACAGTAATAATGAAAGCTGTATTAAAATGAGGGACAGATTGAGGGGAACACCCGAGGTCTGAGGATTGCTGATGCAAAGATAAAGAACTGACAGAACAGACGTTCCTTTTTATAAGAGTTTAAACAAAACTGATCAGAATAAATGTCTTAGAAGAAATCTTTACGTAACTATAAATAAAATTTGAAATGATTACAAAATACTCTGTGCATTCCTCAAGATTTGGTTCCCTCTATCTCAACATATAAAATACTGGGTCATGTAATCAATGACAGTATTTCTTAGCTTTGATGAAATACAGTTTCAAAAGATTAAAGGATAATGTATTCAGCATAATGCATTTATAATACTGAGGGTAGAACGGGCCTTCCTAAGACAACAAAACCCAGAAGTTACCAAAGATTACATAATGGTTTAAAATAAAGTTTTAAAAAACACATGACAGATTAGGAGGAAGTACTTGCAACACATATAGTAACCCAATCCAAAATATATAGCATTCCTAGAAAACAATGAGAACACATTAACAAATCAAAAGAAATATGGGCTAAGGGGATGAACAATCAAACAAATAAAAATGAAAGAAAGAAAACCAACAGAAATGTGAAAGATATTAACTTTGCTCTTAGACAAGGGAATGAAAATAGAGAGATACTTTTTTGCAGCCATCAGATCAGCAAAAAATGAACAAGAATGGTAATGCCCTGCGGGCAAGCATGTGAGGGAACAGGCACTCTCTTATACTGCCAGCCAAAGGATAACCTGGCACAGACTCCTGGGAGAATAACTCTGCAGTGTCCATAAGTATTTCAAATAGATGTGTTCCTTGACACAGCAATTATACCTTTACAAAATGGTCTTGCAGAAATAATCACCAAAAAAATGCATCAAAATACTCTATATTTTGCAGGACAGCCTACAACAACAGTGAAACACTGGAGCAACCTTTGCATCCACCAATAGGGAATCTAGTATATTTATATATGGAACTAAAAAAAAATTTGTTGAGACACAGATATGGAAAGTTTTCCAAAGCATGGAAAAAAGTACAAGATATGGTATGATTTCATGGTATAATAAATCCCATATATATTACCAACATATTTGTGTGTAAAAACACAAGAGGTTGGAAGGATCACCATTATTAATACTGCAGAGTGTAAGAAAAAGAAGGGCAGTAGTATGTGACTGCGAAGAGAATATTTTTATACACTCTTCACGTTTAGTCTAAATAATACAGAATGACCACATATTTAGAAAGTTATCTCAGAATGCAGGATTTTCCCAGTACCTATTTCCCAAACCCTGTTTCTCATTCAAAGTCATACCTTTACTTGAAATAACCCAGTATTCTGATTAATATGGTATCTTTTTGTGCTACTATGTTACTAGAAAATTTTAAACAATGATTTTTACATATAAATAGGATACCTAAAACAATAATTTTCAGAGATACCTATAGAATAAGGAAAATTTATGTCAATATTAAGACAACTATATACCTTTAGCAACCTTTATACTTCTTCAGTCAAAGAAATCTTACAAAACCCTTATTTTTCCAGGGAATTTGAACTCCTACAAAAGTGGCATGAAGAACAAGTAGCAAAGAAATTTTTTCAAACCACTTTTAAAAAACAAATAGCCCCAATCCTGTATTTAAGTCGCTTTAGACAGCAGGACAAACACTGACCATATAGCTTAACAATTCTAAAGAATCACTTTGAAATAAGCAAGGAAAAGTTTGGAACTTTTAAAAGCCAGTTATAATTGCTTCTGGTTAATCCCAAGAAAGAAAGCTAAGTAGATGAATAGGTTCTACTGCTAAGATTTTAACTGATGGAACAGTTTTACTCAGCCTCACAGGAATAATATGCATAAAATTATACAAACATCCTCAGGACAGGTTCTCTTCCATAAAGTTAAAGGAAGTTAGCGCTAATATTAATAAATAATCCTACTTTATATAGATATAAAAATCCTAAAAGTGAAACTGCTATTGGTGTCATAATGCACTGGTAACTTAAAAGTTAAAAACAAACAAACAAAATCCCACCTTTCATTGAAAGCCAGAAAAAGCCACAATGTGATACTATCATCTCTTTAGTTTAAAAACAATCCTCAATATCAAGCCATTAACAATGAAGAGAGATCATTTAATTGCTTATTATAATTGTACATAATACTTTCCACTGAATAACACTTTACCTTTATCAAAAGGTAGAACTGCTTTTTTAAAAAAGCTGAAACAAATAGAACTAAAAGGCAAACTCAGGTGTATCAGATTCCCTATTGTAAGTGACAGTTTTCAACTACTGAAGTCTATAGGAGACATCTGTTTGGAAGCATGAAATCCTACTATTGGGAACTGATGAGATGAGAAAGATGTAATGAAACAGGAAGAAGCTAAATAATTTAAGCCAAATGCATAGCAAATAACCACAAGGCGAGATATCAAATCTTCAAACTTGATAGAAAATAGCTGGAGTTTAATTTCAGAACATATCAAATATTATAAAAAAATCTAACTATATTATGTTTTCTATCAATCAATTAAATGAAAAATGACAACTG